CGATGTGCCAAAGGTCTACGTATAGAGTGCGTTACTAGCCGAAAATGCTGGAAGAAACACGATGCTCGACACTTTTTTGACTTATTTAACTAAAACTAGGCGCGACTGCTTTTTTTCATTACCGAGGAAAATAGTATGTCATGAGGCGGTATTCAAGGACTGGAATGCGAACATGCGACAGTTATGTCGCCGCAGTTGGTTGCCTCGCAGAAAACTCGGCTACAGTGTAAGCGTCAGGATTATTGAAAGAATTAAAGTGAGGTGGGAAGTCTACGGGCGATATGCTGTGCTTACAATTACAAGATCGGGTGAAGGACCTGGAAAGAGGTCATCATGTGGGATTCAAACCCCGCTTCACTTTAGTTCGAGAGGGCCGAACGAGTTTAATAAGATCTTCGCAGAGATGCCGATTAGACTTATGACGCGGTAGTTCTCGCATCTTGGTAGGAAAAACAAGATGTGGGAAATACTGCGGCATAGGTCTTATCAACGTCGCTGCGAAGATATTCGCTACTGTTATTCTCAGGCGATTCCAGTCCAGCGATCTACTTCACCCGTGACACTACAGACTATAGACCGCCAAAACTTGAAACTAGTAAAGCGATATCATTGGTGTAGTCGAGATCGGTTAACCGGCGTCTGGGTGCAAGCTCAACACCATCCTTTCTATGTAAGGCCTTCCCAAGAATCCAGTCAATTGCGTAGTTGAATAGAATGGACGACATGACACAGCCTTGTCGAACGCCAGACCAAATAGCGAACGGTTCTGAAAGGTTGTTATGGACCAGGGCGCGCGCAGTGGTGGAACGGTAGTATACCTTGATCATGGAAATGATATCTCATGGTACATCATCTAGTGCCATTATCCGCCATAGAGACTCACGATGGACGGAATCGAACGCAGCGGCAAAGTCAACAAAGCAGTAGGCCGTTGGTTGTTTATGGGTATGGCGGAATTCAAGAATGCGTCTTTGTGTGAATATCTGTTCCGTACATCTACAGCCAGCGCGGAATCCAGCTTGGTGGGCCCGCATCCTAGAGTCACGCACAAACTGGAATCGCTTGAGAAGAACAATTGGGAAAATCTTCGCAACGAAGTTGATAAGACCTATGCTGTTGTATTTTTTCGCACCTTGTTTTATCTCTCTTTTTACAGACGGGTAAAAGGATACTTTAGCCTCAGTCAGCGCAAACGGCCTCGTCTCTTCACGCTTGTAATTTCACCTCGTGGAACCAATGAGCCAGAGTGTCGACATGACTTATAGATTTTATGGGGAGATACCGTCTACTCCTGACGCCTTCTTAGATAGATGTAGTCGATAAAATTTGCTATAAAGGAGGAACTGCACGTTTAGTGTGCATCTTGTGTATCTTCCCTGACTGCGTTCAGTTATATTTCAATTTCTTACTGATCAATTGATAGTAATTCGCATCTTCGTTGCGGAGTCTGATTTGTTCATTGTAACGATGCTTGTTTCCTTATCCGGTCTACGGGTCGATATATTTTCGTTCTCTCGATCGGGTATTGGTAATTACAATTCGTGTGGTCTCGTATCTTTGCAATAAGTTATCAATAAAGGAAAGATGTACGTTAAAATGCTCTTGCATTTAAGATGTTGCACACAAAAGGATTAGGAAACGTGGTTTGCGTACTATCCCGTGAACGCTCTACACAGGTGAAGGTACTGTGAGCTTCCGCGTAGCTATAAACTGTACTAGCCTGTAGGTGGTCAACTTATGTTAGTATAATGCTAACTTAGTTGGAGACGCTAGAAAAAAACGTCATACGAGATAAAATAGCATTGGCAGCTATGTTG